TAACCTCTGGGTGCCATGAAAAGGTCACTCTTGTTGCTTTTGCTGTCTCCCACCACCATGAACCATTGTCCATCTGCCATCTTTACTTGTGTGCAGTCCTGCTTTGGAGCCAGCTGATTATGGATTGAAACCTTTACAAACAACTAAATAAACCTTTCCTCCTTTTAACTTTGGGCGTCGGTTATTTTGTCTCAGGAACAAAAGAAAAGTAATTAAGACAATACTTATCTATGCCTGGCCAGAACTGTAATGAGGCAGCAGAACTTTAGCCACAGTGTAATCAAAGAATGGCATAGGGTGAAGGGTACCAGGAACAACAGTACCCCTTCCCCTAAGAGCTTTGGGTTTTTCTCTGCAGGGGCAAAATTAGTATAATTCTTCCTTCCTGGATTCTTTAATCCGGAACTTAGACCAATGCTTAGATGGACTTTTTTTCAGAGGCAGCAATAAGAACTTGTGTGCCAATTTCTAACCTATAGGTTGGCTAACTAGCAGCTTCCCTCTTTTTCCCTCACCCTAAAGAACCTTCTGCCAGTTTGTTAGAGATCTAGTTACTAATCTGTTGTTAGCAATGCTGGGTCACATGTGTGGTATCTCCACTGGCTTGTGCAAAGTACCCATTCAGAACAAAGATTTTTGGTGAAGTAGGGGATAGAGTGCCCTCTGATGAAAACCTCAAATTTGCCTTAAAAGAATCCCATGGCATTTAAGAATGTATTTAGCATTCCTTCCCCTGGAGCATGCTTCTGGTGGTCTGAGGTAGAACATGGAAATGTGATTTCTTAAATAAGGTAAGTCTTTTTGGACCCTGGGGAACACTGTTAAATATCTTTGTGAGGAAACTCTTGCTTCCCATATATCCCACTCCAATTTTACTAACGTTCTCCTTCTAGAGGCTCAGTACCAGTGCTAGGTGGGCACTATCCCTTTCCAGTGGATCTGGAAGTAAATTTCCCATTTCTGCTTCTTGGGAAATATTTTATTCTATGCTGGCTCTGTTTGCTCTGCTGACACCCAGTGGCCATCTGAGAAAATAGTGGCCTAGATACTTCTACAACATTGGCTGAGTGGGTGAAATATTGAGGTCTAAGACTCACTGATTAAGAGATTAAAAAGACTAAATCTTAGAAGTGTGGTAAACATAGTTAAAGGAGTGGGGGTCTCCTTTTGCAGTACTTGGAACGGTTCTGTGTTGGGGCACTGACATGGGGCGGTTGCATTGTGGAAGCGTAGAAATAGTGTGAGGGTGTTAGCATAGCACACTTAGGCTAACGGAGCAACTTTTTTTAAGAGCAGGAAAATTTATTGGAGAAAAGGAATGGGGAATTGGAATAGAGGAATGGAGAATAGGTATAGCTCCTGGAGACAGGAAGTGTTCCAAATGGGCAGCCGACAAACCTATCTCGTGAAGTTGTATACAGCAAAATCATGAGGTGGGTACAACATGGGTAATTCTAAGGAACAACAGACATTAAGAGTAGGAAAACACTGGAAAAAAGGAATGGAGACTAGGAATAGCTCCTGAGACATAGGAGGGGTCCTGAAAGGGCTGCCCAAGGAGCCAGTTCTTTATTGAGGGTGAATGTAAGGAAACAATAAAGAATATATTGTATTGGCCTGTGAGGTTTTCCCCAGATGCTATAGAACCATACCTCCCATAGTTATCTTTTGACTGTTTAAGAAAAAAAAGGTAAAAATTTCCAGGCACTGCAAGGAGCAGTGAGATGCAAGCTGAAATTGCACTTTTAGGGGGTTGTGTTTTGCTCCTATGCACAAAATCTAGAAGGTAAATGGCCAAGTATGTAAAACCTGTACCTGGAGGTGGAGGGTAACGTTGGTAAGGAAAGTCCAAATTTTATAAACCTATGAGATTAGGCAGAGATGGCCCAAGCTATTGATAGGAACAATACCTTAGAGCCTGAGTATTTACAGGCTCTAAGTAGGTTTTAACCCCTGAAGTGTATGTTAGGGAGAGTAATAGGACGAGATAGCTACAGTCAAACCTTAACTCCCAAGAGCAATTTCTAGCAAAAGCATGAAGAATTCTGACATCTTCACCTAAAGACAAACCAAGGAGCTTCTTTGGACTAAGTTAGTCCTAGTATCCTTTAAATTCCACTGAAGCAGGAAAATTAACCTGGCCATCAACTCAGCGTAGGAAATTTGCCTTCTCTGCTTGTGTGTTCCCAACCCCGGCAAAGCCAGGGAGAAGGACACTCTTCTTGGACCAGAGATGAAGTTAATTCTAGAGAAAAAGACAGAAACCATGTACCAGAAATAGCTATGCACATGTGAATGGTAACAAGTAAATGAAAAAGAACTTGAGGCTAAGAAGATTTCAGCCTTTTGTGCTGCATGGTGGGAAGATGAACCTCGCCTCCCACCCTGCAGTAGCACAAGGGAAGGTTATCCAAAAAGAAAAGTGATGTTAGGTAGTAGAGACAGTGCAGTTGAAATAGTATGAAAAGAAATTAGTGTATTTTTCACATTGTAACCAGTTCGGATTCTGATCTCAATAAACACACTGATATCTTGTATTTTAAGAAAAAAAGTTCTTTATTTCATATCCTGATATTTAGGAAACCAGAGATATTCCTCTGGAAAAGACTACTCTGTTTGCCTTTAACCCCTCACTGAGGCTTTCCTTCTCAACTCGACCTATCAATCTTTTCAGCCAACAACATAGACATCATCTAAAACCTTATCCATCATCAGTTAAGCAAAGGATAGTTCTGCAAACTTGTCTGGACAAATACAAAACAACGGAAGGGCCATAAAGTGGTAATGTAGAATTAGTAGACAGGAATAAATCTTCATCAAGTGTAATGATGCTTTGCTAGGGCCAGGAACCCTTGAAGACTTAAATCCATGGCCTTTCTGCTTTCTGATAACTTCTCCAAGTAAATAGCATTAGTAGACGTTCCCCACAGAGGTGGAATTTGATGTATACCAGAAGAGATTGTATTTACACCTGACCTTTTGTTGTTCATATTAGTTTTGTTCCCACCAATATAATGTCAACAGGGTAGTCTGTTTTTACCATACAGCTACCCGCTTACCCATCTTGAAAGAAACGGTATCTACAAGAAAATATGCTGCAAAGTTGAAACACTTCTTGGAAGTTTGGAGAGAATAATGCACCTGTCCTAGTCTTACCAGCCTCTCTGTTGCTTCCTTCATAACGCCCTTGTCAAATAAAACATCCTATACTTCACTTGTGTCATCATGGACAACCACTGCACTGTTGAATTGCAAATGCAGCTAAGCTGTAAATTAAGCTGCAGAATGAGGCTACAAAAGCTCTCCTGGCCAGCTGTGTCCCATAACTCTAGCTAATCTGTATGAAGCAGATGTTTAGGAGGCAGATGGGAAAAAAGAGAAAAGAACTAGCCTTTAAGAGCTAGAATCTAGCTCTGGAATGTCAGTACTTTAGGAGGCTGCATAGCTGGAACTCCAGTGCTCTAGGAGGCTGACACAGGAGCATCACAATATCAGTGGAGCTTACCACAAAGGCCCTAGGTTTAGTTTCTAGTACCAAAAAATAAATAGATAAATCAAAACTAGAACTAAGAGTCTAGGAGACTGGATCTCGAAAAAGTGGCTGCTGTTGCCTGAAACTAAGTGGGTCTGGCCACTCCCAAGATACTATTGTCATTAAGGAAGCACCCCGTAGAACAGCAGATTTAAGAATTCATGAGATCTTAATGTTACAGTTGAAGATTAATAAGGGTAGAGAAAGTAAAGAACATCACAGGCTTTGGTAGTTTGAGGGCAGCTATTTTGGGAAAGTGTTAACCTGTTAGGAATGAGCCAAAGGGGTTGAGGAATACAGTTAATGGCATGAACTTTTAACACTATTGGGTTCTCTAAGTGCATAGTCTTAGGAAATTCATTTCAATAGTTACCTGCAACAGAGAGAGATACTCTCTATGACCCCCTCCCACCACTCCCAATACCAAGCAGTTTTAGAACCGGAAGGAGAGCACGCCCCTTAATGAGGTCCTGGCTTGACTTTCCAGCACTTCTAAGGAATGACTAAAGAAGAGCTTTCCAAGTGAGGTGGCCAAGGAAAGTGGCAAAACTATTGTGTGACTGGCAGTGGGCTCACTTGGCAGGCACAGTGCAATCTGTCCTTGATGAAGCAGATGAGGACGAATGTCCTCAGCACTGTACAAGGCAGAGCAAAGTAGACGCACACTGGCCTTTCTCCCCATCCATCTCTGTGAAGCCCTACTTCCAGCACATGTACTCCCAACTCCCAAAGAGGAGGAACTTGGTTTCCAGAAGAAGCTCTCACCCTATACCACTCAGCCTTCCTATCCCCAAAGCCTAACCTAAGACCTGCACAGACTGTTCTGCCCTCCTGGAATATCAGTCTGGATTAGCATAGAGCCTGGTGTTTGAGTTTCATGTTGGTCTCCAGGCCAAAACCTCTGGTCTTGCTCTGCTATGGGTCTCATGAGGTCCAAAAGCATATGTAGCTGCTGGTAGAGCAGGTGGGCTTGAGATGAGGGTGGGAGTAAACCTGCCTCCCGCATTTGACCTTTTACCACCTGCTGTCTCCTCAACCTCAGTGAGCATCAGACTTAGGCCTAGGCATGGCCCCACCCTCTCATCTTACTCCTAGGGCTCTTGCAACACCACAAACTAGTACTGGTGCTTGGGACAGTTGGGGCAGTAGGGTGATCCCAGGAGTAAGATAATGGGGTGGGAACAGGGATGGCCACGACCAGAGAAAAAGCTGAAGGATCCACAAAGGAGGGCGAGCAGCAGTGCCAGAGAGAAGTCTAAGGCCACACAGAGGAAAAGTCCTTGCTAAGAGCAATATAATCACAGCAGTGGGGAGGGCGAGTTGGAAAGGAAGGAAAATTCTCAGCACTCCCCAGGGGAGGAAATGGAGAAGAGTGATAGGCATGTCTGGACAGAAGGATTTATTAGAGCATTACAGTGGAGGCTGCCATGTACAGGGGTGGCAGATCTAGGCGCTCAGTTCTCCTTGTCTTCCTCTGTGACCAAAGCCTTCTGGCTCTCTGCCCCGCCTTGCTCTTGCTTCGTAAACTCCTCGATGACTATGTCCTCAGAGCTTCCAGCAGAGGAGAATAGAGGATTAGGAGCCCAATTCATTACCCTTTGCTGACCCCAGAGAAGAGATCCCCTCCCTGCTTCTTAGCTCAGTTCCCAAGGCCTCCTCTCAGTAGTGCCCCCACCCTGTCGGCCACACTGGCTTCTAATCTTCTGTTCCTTCCCAACACGAAAGTCCCCCAGGAGTGCTACAAGAGAAGAACAGAGGGTGAGACAGAAGGAAGGAATGGGAGAATGAGAGAAGGAATGGCGAGGGGCCAGGCACAAGGTGAAGGAGAAGCAGTAAGAGGGAGGAGGAGGATTCCAACAAGAGCAAGGAGGACAGTAGGTGTAGAAAGGAGAGGAAGGCACATGAAAAGCACTCAGTTGTGACAGGAAGCTAAACTGTTTCCCCTGAACATCTACTGAAAGCAGCACCCCGGAAAAGCCTTTACATTTCCATCACCACAAAAAAATAGAATGTAGAGATGAGAGCGCTCAAGCTTCTTACTGCCTTACCTAGCAACCTCTGTAGCAGATATGGGGAGGGAAAAACAAATGGAATTTAAGCTGATGAGGAGCTCTTCAGTTCTCTGAAGAAATGTTTTTACTCTTTCCCCTCCTTTTTGAGTCCTACCCCTCCTGCACAAACTCTCCCTAAAATCCCATACACCCAACCTGCTTGTTGACATTCCATCTCTACCCAAACTGCTAGTCTTCAAGTCATAAGGTCAGAACCTCTCACCCTCCATACCTCAACACAACTGTTCCTGTGAGTCCTGCCTGGTCACTCACCATGACATGGCTTTGGATGCATCAGAATCAGAGGCAGCTCAACACCAACATCACTGCAAGGATTCCCAAGGTGGGTTTACTGACATCAGTACAAGCCCAGACACTTTCTAGTCACTGTTTTTTTAGTCAATTTATTTTTGTGATACTGAAGACCAAACTCAGGACTTAGTGCATTCTAGGTGATTGCTCTACCATTAAGCTGTATCCCAAGCCCTCCCCACCCACCTTCTGTGGTATTAGAGATTGAACCCAGCACCTTACACATGCTGGGCAAACACTCCACCACTGAGTTACATTCCCTATTTCCCACCCTCTTTAAGACAGGGGCTTGATAAACTTCCTTGGCAGGACTCACATTTGTGATCCTCCTGCATCAGCCACCCTAGTAAATGAGATTTCAGGCATGTACCACCACGTGAAGCTTGATTAGTCACTCTTTTGGTGTCCTTGTCCCCACCCCTTTCCTTTCTGCCCCACCTCTCACCTCATAGCCTCTCACCTGGCTATCAGATCTCCTAGGATGCTGTGTGTAGAATAACACAAAAAATTAGCAGCTGGAAATGGGGAGGGGCCAGCCTAGTTCTACTGGGAGTTGTGTGATCCTAAGGCCAACTCAGTTACAGAATGGGTTCCTGGAAGGAAAGTGACTTACTCACTGAATGCACAAGTTTGGGGACTTAGTTGGGAGAAAGGGAACAGCTTGGCTGGGTCAGTCTTTGTGGGAATAAAACAGAATACTGAACTCTTGGTTCCCCAGCCCCTGCCCTGATAGACCCTGAACCCTCACTTACCCTCCAGAAACCATCAGGTTGACTCTGACTTTATAGGACACCAGGATCCCCAACAGCTCCTTATTCATTCCAGGTCGAAGACTAGAAATTGTAGTATTCATTTTTGTATGTTTGGGGCAGGGAAAGTAATTCATTCAGTCCACTATCCTTCCTGTGCATTCATATCACTACATCCTATTCCATTATTTTCTTCTCTCAGATGATCTTCCAGGCTGTAATTTCTCCTACCTATTGGAACCACATTTCTCTTCCTAAAATTTAGTTTTACCATATAATTCTCTGTTGAAAATTCTCTCATTCAATGTATCTTTTCTGGTTGGCTTTCAAGAACTAAACTGTCTGTCCTCATCTACACATTCTCAGCTTCTCTGCCCTAACTCCTCTATCAGCTAGGACACAATGTAGACTGACCTATCTTATTTGTATCATCTGTAAATGTCCTGTAGATTCCCACCTTCTAGCCCAGACCCTTGCTGTGTCCCTAGCCTTAAATGTTTATTTCTTCCTCTGTTGGTATCCTGATCTTACACATTGTGAAGATCAAGCTCTTTGTACCTCCTCTAGGAAGGTTTTGCCAGGGAATGTTGATTTCTTTCAACTTCTGTTGGATTCATAATCCAAACTACATGTACTAACATTTAACTGTTAGTTTGAACTTTATTTGTTCTTCATCTAGCCCATACATTGAATAAATACAGATGGTATATTAAACATTTTTGTGTCCCCTACATTGCTTATCATGGCAATAGCCATTCAAAGGTGACCAATAAAATCCTGGGGATGGAAAAATAGGACACTGAAAACAGTGATTATAGAAAAGTCAGGGCAGGGAGATGGCTCAGTAGAATAAGCACTTCCCTGGCAAAGGCAAGGGCCTGAGTTCAATCCCTGGTTCCACAAAAAAAGAAAATAAAGGAAAAAGAAAAAAGAAAAGTCTATTTATTGCTCTAGACTGCTGATACCCTCTCTGTAAAATAATAATATTTGAATAATTTCTAAAGGTATTTCTAGCAATAGCAGTCTATAGCTACTTGGTTGATAGGGTGAGGTCACAGTATGTATGATTTTCAGATGGCTTTTGGTGGGGGACGCATGTAACACTAGGGCCTCTGAAGACATAAGACAAAATTAAAGACATCACAGAGTTCTGCCAGTTTCTTCATACTATTGTCTCCTTTATCCTCCTTTTCCTACATTTCTCATCACTTAATCTTTCACTCTATTTCTATCTCTTCTGGAGAATAGCTGCTGTAGAGATCAGAGTGTTTAGAGCTAGATGACATGTAATAGAATCCTGTCTACTTCTGTCATTTATCCAACTGTGGACAAGTTCCTCCTCTGAGCCCCAGAGCCCCAAAGTATAAAATGGAGTAAGAGCACCTGTCCAGCCAACTTTAACGGAATTATTTTTTGTACTGGGAATCAAACTCAGGACCTTGCACTGGTGCTGTGCTGCTGAGCTATCTCCCAGCCCATTAATGGAATTCTTATGAAGATAACTGAGCACATATGTAAGGCCTCTGTGAACTGTGAAACATTATACAACATAAAGAACATAAACATTCTCCGCTCCACATTGTCCTTTCTCACTACCTATGGCTAAAGCCTACCAATGGTCCCATGGGCATCATTTAGCTTGCTGTTGACTGTCAAGCCCGGGAGGAGTCTGAACACTGGCCTTGAGAAGTTTGAAAAGTAAGTAGACTTCACTGAAGATGAAGCTATGTATGGTATGCAGAATGAGTTAGGGGCAGGAAATGGAGGTTGGAAGTTACACTTGATCTTACATTGTGCTAGAAGCCAGACTGGTATCTTCATGCTTGAGTTTGCCATCCAGTGCCAGGCCTTGTTTCTGGCAGTTGGTCAGGAGTGGGGTGACTGCAAAGCTCTGGGAGAAGCTGGAGTTAGCAGCTATGGTCTCCCTTTGCAAGAAGAATAGAAGAAGTTACGATAGGCTTACCAACAAAGTATATTTTTACTTTCAGAAGTAGTATCTTACACAATCCCAAGATACTACTGGTTATTTAAGAGAAATGAGATGTCTGACTATTAAGAGTAGAATTAGCTCTGGTGGGAAGTTCTTATGCCTCTACCCCCTCTTAGAATGTTGAGACCCTCCGCTAGATAATTAGCTACACCTCTCCCATCTAGTTCTCCTGAGAATCTCTCCCTTTCTACATCTTAGTGCTCACCTTGACCTTCCTCATTCCTGCCTCCCTCCCTTCCTCAACCTTCCCTCAGCTCTCTTTCCACCACCCAAACCTTTGCTTTGACCCCCATCCCCAGCACTGGCTCACGTGAACTCCTGAATGAACACAGTCTTGGTGTACTTGTCTATTGAATACAGGACAACATCTGTGATCTGGTCAACTGAATAAACCAGGAAAAATACATGACTATAATCAGTGAGTCATCCTTAACCCGCCCCCACTTACTGTCCACAGATGCTACCTTATGCATGGGGGACCCCATACATGATTCAGTAATATGTGCTCAGTGACAAAGATATATATTTTAATAAGCTTGTTTTGGAGGGAAAATCAAGATTAATATAGACAGGTCAGTGGAACAGTGTGTTAGAAAGAAGCCTATCTGTGATTTGGGGTCCAGGAAACAGGCTATTAGAAAAGAAGCTCACCTGAAATCTTGATTTTTTTGATGACCTTGTTAGTGCAGTTGTTGATGGAAACACTGACAGAAATGGGTTCTCCATGGTAGTGAACCTGAAGGAGAAGGAGAAGCCCATCACAACGTTGGAGGAAGAATATTCAGATCAAGACCTAGAATTCTTGCTTCCTTAACACTTATTGCTGCCCTGGCTCCCATCTTTGCCTACTCAAGGAGGAAACGTGAAGGAAGGGTAATAGACAGGCTTAGGAAGTATGGTGGCTAACCTTCCTCTCCATCCAGGCCTGGAGTTGGAGGGGCTGAGCTGACAAAAGGAAACGGTGGCGGGTTTGGGCACAGGGACCAGGGCCTGGCTCCAAGGGTGCAAACTGTACTTTCCGGACAACCAGCTGCACGCAGTCTCTGAGTAGGGATGAGGAAGTTAGCCAGAACATCTCCTTTGAGAACTATGAGTCCCCCTCCCCCCAACACACACACACCCTCACACCATGCTGCTCCCATAGCCCAGGCCTTGCTTGAGTATGGAGACAGGAGAAGTCCTCTCTCACAGAACTCCTTAGCTTCTCAATGTAGGTATATGGACCAAGCATTAGCAAATATGGTCCATGGGCCAAATCTGGCCTGCTGCCTATTTTTATATGGCCTGTGAAGGGCTAGGAAGGGCTATTATATTTATAAATGGCTGAAATCAATTAAAGAAAAATATTTATAACATGTGGATATTACATAAAAGTCACATTTCAGGGCCTATAAATAAGATTTTATTGGAATGTAGCTACATTTATTGATGCAGGACCAGTGATAGCTTTGTTCTACAATAGAAGAGTTGGGCAGTTGCAAGCCAGATTGTGTAATTCTCGAAACCTAAATATTTCTTTTCTGGCCCTTTACATAAAAGTTTGCTGACCTCTGCCCTGGAGTGAGGAAGAGAGGTAAGAGAGGACTTAGAACAGGGTATCTGAATTACTGGGTATGGTGCTCTCTAGAGGTTAGAGTAAGGGCTGTTTTTGTCACAAGAATAGGATCTGGTTCCTGGCAGGGGCTAGGGACAGGGATTTGGGAGAGGACCAAGAGTACTTCTTAGAGATTTTTTCCTCCAGGTTTTCAGCACAGAAGCTCTTCACTTCGAAGTCAACCCCACAAGCCTGCAAAGAGGACAGGACAAAGAGAACTCTTTTTTTGATGTTGTTAGTGCAGTTGTTGATGGAAACACTGACAGAGATGGGTTCTCCATGGTAGTGAACCTGAAGGAGAAGGAGAAGCCCATCTTTCCTTCTCCATGGGCCTATAAGAAAATGCCTAGACTCTTCCCTTAGGTGTCTATTTCTCCAGTCTTGCCCATCTTTATCACTGTTCTTCTTCCCAGGCACTACTTGTTTGCCATTCTTCCATAGCTTGGATCTGAAATGACCCCCTAAGGTCCATATGTCAAAGGGTTGGTTGCCCGCCTGGGGCACTATTTGGAGATGACAGAACATTGAAGAGGTTGGTCCTACTTGAAGGAAGTTTGTACCTGTTAAAGGGATATTGCTTGGGATGCCAGCCCCTTCCTGTCTCTTTTTTGCTTCCTGGCCACTATGAGGTAAACAGGCCTCCTCTGTCACATGTTCCACAATGATGCAAAGCAGCTAGGCCACATGACCGCGTACTGAAAACTGTCAGCTAAAGTAAATCTTCCTTCTTTTTAAGTTGATTGTCTCAGGTATTTTGTTACAATGGTAGAAAGTGGATTAGCACATCCTCTTTCTCAGAACCCAGGCCTCACCTTGCCTGCATCTTTAGGACCTGGCTGCAGTGTCACTGAACAAGGCAGGTTGGCCACCATCTAGGGGACCAAAATGAGGTCAGTGAACAGAAGAAATAGGGACTCCTCTCTTCCGTTCTTCTTTAGCTTTTTCTCTTAACCTTCCCTGGAAACCTTACCCTGGATGCAGTCAGTACCTGCAGGGTAAAGGGGTAGGCATTGTCCCCCAGCTTGTGCAGCAATCGCTCCTGTAAAAGTGTGAGGGGCACCTGGAGGCTGCTGGGCTCAGCTGGAAACACTTGCTGAGTCTGTACATACAGATCTTTGTGGAACGTCAGACCAATAACATCCAAGTCATCACGGCCATAGCGAAAAGCACATGTCAACATGACGAAGACTGCAGGCAAAGGAGGAAGAGAGTGACCCGTCAGGACTGTGTGAAGGGAGATCTTAACTGGGTCAGAAGGCAGAGGAAAAAAAAAAAGAAGGCAGAGGAAGACAGAGGGACAATGTACTACAACCAAGTCTGATTATTAAGAAAAAAATAATACATTTGACTAACAGTAAAGTTTAGGGGGCTTGCACGTTAGTTCAGTTGTTTAAAGCTCCTGCTTGGGCAAACTCAGTCAGGCACAGGGGATCGCGATTCGATCCCCAGCTCCTCAAGTTGCACCAGAACTGCCCTTAAGGCAGCCTGAGATACCAAAAAAAAAAAAAAAAAAAACTGTAAAAGTTTAAAGCTCCTTTATATTAAAAGTTTTACAAAGAAAGAAAAAAGGAAATACACGGAGAAAATATTTGCAACACATATCAGACAGAAGTTTAGCATCTGAAACAAGCAAGTACTTCCATTAAACAACAATAACAATATACTAATAATTCTAATCATATAAATATTTAAATAAATTATAATGATTGAATACTAACACTAACTACTGATAATAGAAAAATGTTCAAAGAATGTGAATAAGCATTTTTCAAAAGTACAAAATGAAATAGCTAGTAAAATATGCAATGAGTCTCTTTAGTAATCAGATAAATGGATATTAAAACTACAGTGAGATAACATTTCACATGCATCAAATTATCAAAAATTATGAAGACAGACAATGCTGAGTGCTCATGAATATGTGGAACAATTGTCCTTATGTACTACTGGTGACAATATACAATACCTCAACTACTTAGGAAAGTTTGCACCATAAAATTGAATCTACTCATACTTTAAGAATTCTACTACATTTAAGCCAAGCTCAGTGGTGTAGTACCTTCCTGGCAAACACAAGTTCCTGAGTTTGATTCCCCATAACCACCAAAAAGGAATTCTACTGCATTAGAGTAGCTCCTGCTCCCATTTATAAGGATATACATATTAGAGTGTCCATAGCTTCAATGATTGCCAGAACATAAAATGGGAGATAATCTAAACATTTATCAACAAATTGGGTAATAAATTTATAGACTAGTAATATAATTGAGTATGAGGGCTGGGGAGATGGCTCAGTAGAATAAGTGCTTGCCTGGCAAGCACAGGGTCCTGAGTTCAATCCCTGCGTACTGAAAAAAAAAAGGATAGCTATTGTGAGGATATCAAGATAGCCTTAGTTTAGGCTGAGGAGATAGGTCTGTGGTCTAAGTGCCTGCCTGGCAAGTGCAAGGACCCAGGTTCAATCCCCAGTACCACATGCTGTGCTGGCCCCAGAACATGGGCACAGCATGCAGGCCACCAAAACTGGGTGTGGTGGCACATGCCTGTAATTTCAGTACTAGGGAGGCTGAAACAGGAGGATCACCATGAGTCTGAGCTGCGTAGTGAAATCCTGTACAAAATACATAAAAAAAAGTGAACCTTAGTTTAAGAGGTGGTAGGTCATGAGGATTTTTACCCTATCAAATGGGATTAAGGCCCTTATGAAAGAAACTTCGTGTAACATTTGACCCTCTTGCCTTCCCACCTTCTGCCATGTGAGACAGGTGCAATTCTCCCTCCTCCCCTCTGGAAGAGGCAGCAATAAGGTGCCATTGGAGGCATAGAGGAGCTGTTACCAGACAATTGAATCTGCTAGTTGCCTTGATCTTGAACTTCTCAGCCTCCAGAACTGTGAGAAACAAATTTCTGTTCTTTAGAAATTTCACAGGCTTAAATATTTTTGCTTTAGTGCAAATGGACTAAGATGTGGTTAAAGATTTTTACTGTTGAGTAAAAAACAACTAGCACCAGAATTATGTGTACCATATGTTACTATTTAGAGTTTGAAACCATGTATGCAGAGGAATATTAAAATTGATCACAGATACATATGTATGGAATAGAAATATAGAAACATCATGGGAATAATACATTCCAAACTGGGGTTAGTGGTGATCATTACCTGGAATGGGAAAAAAAAGGACAAAGGAAGGAGAAAGAGGAGATAGGTTTAGGGAAGGACACACAGGAGACTGGCCTCAGTTTGATTCTGTACTGAATCAAATGTACTGAATGTACTGAATATCAGATTATCTGCTTTAAAAACTAAGAATAAGGAAAATGAATCTATATCAGAATATAATAAAGATTGAAAGTCATGACATAGTTCTCTATGCCTTTTTTCATAATTTGAAAAAGAATCAATAAGATTTGGGGTCAGAAACAGCACGGTGGTGTACCATGTGTAAGTCCAGCACTCCAGGAGGCTAAGGCAGGAAGATCATAAGCTATAGCCCAACCTGGGCAACTTTGCAACTTAGTGAGACTTGTCTGAAATGAAACATAAAAAAAGCTAAGGGAGCCAGCTGTAGTGGCTCCTACCCATAATCCCAGCACTTGGGAGGCTGAGACAGGAGGACTGCTGTGAATTCAAGGCCAGCCTGTGCTACATAGTGAAACCTTGTGTCACATACCCTGCCAAAAGATGGTGATGTAGCTCAGTGCAAAAGCTCTATGTTAAATTCTATCATAGTGAACTAACATAATTAATTCATAAATTAAAGATTTAGGGTTAGAATACCTGGGCTTGGATAAGACTTTTACAAATCTTTTGAGCTCTCTGAGCCTTAGTTATTTTGTTTGTCAATAGCAACTGTACTAGACACTCTATGTATGTCATTTAGATAGCACAACAATCCTCTATTATAATCAGCACTTTGAAGATATGTTAAATGAACTCAGCAGCAGTTCAGGATTACAACACAGGCCGGCTTGACCCCAAAGCTTAGATTCACGGGCACCCAACTTCATTTCAGTCAGAATGTTTGGGAGCAATTGATGTACAGTTATAAGAAATTCCTTTGGTAACTGTACAGTGATTGTAGACATGGCTGATGATGATAATGATGGTGCTGGTGGTGGAGACAATCACAGGAATCTTGGCAGAAATTGCACAGTTATGAACTTGTACTTTGCAGCTAATACCTAAGATTATGGTCAATCGAAAGCTTCTGAAATGCAATAATGGAATGTGCAATGGGTTAGAGGAATCCTGTTCCAGGCCACAGTGACCGAAAATGAAGCAATAAAAGATGAACATAGAGGTGGGTATCTATATTTTATCACGATTCCTGACCCCTATGTAAAGAAAATAACCAATAGCTATGCCTGAGTAGAGAGCAACTTATTGTAGTATCTTTAACACATCAATGTACTGAATATCAGAAAAACTAAGAATAAGGAAAATAAATCTATATCAGAATATAATAAAGACTGAAAGTCATGAAACCAGTATTTTTATAAAGAGTGGGATGAAAAAAAAATGGGGCTGGGGAGATGGCTCAGTGGAATAAGCACTTCCCTGGCAAGCGCAAGGGTCTGAGTTCAATCCCTGGTTCCAAAAAAAAAAAACAAAAAAAAAAAAACAAGAGTGGGATGACAGGCAGCCTGGTATATTGCAGGGAGAAGAGTTAATTGATACAAACTTTTTGAATAGTCATTTGGCAATGAGTGTAGAACAGCCTAAAAGTTGGTGATGCCTTCTGAGTATTAATTCAATTTCTAAGCTCTTAGACTGAAGGAATTATGGAATAATGCACCTCCAAAGGATATACCTTGGGTCGGCCAAATAGCTCAGCAGATTAAAGCACCTGCAAGCAGGTACAGAGGCAGGGGGTTCTATCCCCAGGCCTGCCATGCCAGCCCTGCCCCCAGGGCATACTGAGATGGCAATTGAGACTGGGTGTGGTGGCGTACGCCTGTAATCGCAGCTCTTGAGAGGCTGTAAACAGACAGATCACTAGGTGTCCAATCTAGTAGTGAGACCCTGAACACCCTGTAAACCCTTCCCTAAAAAAAAAAAAAAAAAAAAAAAAAAAGGATTTGCCTTTTGAGGTTGTTCATAACCATAAAAATGTCAAAAACAAAATGAATGTCTAACAGTTGAAAACTGTAGATATGGTTATGGTAAACTGATGGTAAGATGTAAACACAAAGTACGGTACTAAGCAACTGACAGAGTCTTTCTTTCTTTCTTTCTTTCTTTCTTTCTTTCTTTCTTTCTTTCTTTCTTTCTTTCTTTCTTTCCTTAGAGAGAAAAAGTTCTCTCAGGCTTTCACAGAGACCAAATGGTCAAGCAATGGCTGTGACTCATCCAGATGGCTGACACTGGCAAAAGATTTACAAGGTACTGTACATGGTTCCAGGGGGTTCTTTCTTTCTTTCTTTCTTTCTTTCTTTCTTTCTTTCTTTCTTTCTTTCTTTCTTTCTTTCTTTCTTTTCCTGGAAAATCCCAGATTTTCACACTGGACTATATCCCTCAACCCTTTCAATTTTTTTTTTAAATTTTGAAATAATATCTCACTAAATCACTAAGTTGCCCAGGCTGGGCTTGAACTTGTGATCCTTCTGCTTCAACCTCCCAGAATGCTGGGTCTACAGGCATGTGAACCATATCCTGCAGATTTTTATATTTTGGCATAGGCGTAAAAGGTTTTAACATGTTATTACAGTATAACATTTTTTTTTTGTTGTAGTATGGGGGATCAAACTCAGGTCCTTGCACCTTCCAGGAGGTACTTATACTGCTGAACTATCTCCCCAGCCCTACAGTGTAACATTTTAAATAAAAAGACATATTTGAACAGAAAGTATGATAAAGAATTATAATATCATTAGTTATTATTCATGATTTAGGGTGCTAAGATTACAGTCTCTCCTTTATCTGTGTTTTCCAATTTTAATATATGTGCTACTGAAGTGAACACTGCATGCATCTTCTAATTTTTCTACAATGAAGATAAACAATTTTCAGAAGACACAACAAATAAATCCACCTTGGTTCCCAAATATGGCCAATTAAAGTAGAAGAAGGGAGAGAAAAAGGAAAGGAAATGCAAAGGGATAAAGAAAAGGAAGACGGGAAAGATGAGAAGGAGGTAGACAAGAAGTGGCTGTGGGGCTGGGGGTGTAGCTCAATGATAAACTGAATGGTAAGCCTGCAGGAGGACCTAACACCCTCCAACACTGCTGGCTGGAGGAAGGACGGTGGAGGCAAGGAAAATGAAGGAATGTGAAAGGAGACAGAATAAGGTCAAAATCAGTGAGACCCTGGAGGATCTGTGGCCCCGGCAGTGAGGGTGTTAGCCAGATGAATCGCTCTTGGCTCACTTGGTCTGCTTTGTGTAGGCAGGGCTGTAGCAGTCCTCAGCTACCATCTGCATGTTCATGGTCCCTTGAGCAGCTTAATCCTTTACTGGTGCTAGGATGTAGCTTGGTTTTTACCAATTAATGATTTTTGTAGTGCTGGGGATTGAAACAGGGCTTACACACTGAGCTCTTTAAAAAAGTTTTAAAATTTTGAGACAGGGTGTCATAAAATCATTAAAATGGCCACGCTGAGCTTAAACTTGCAGTTCTCTCACCTCAGCTTCCCATAGGCGTGTGCCACCATGTCCAGCTAGCTGCTTTTTATTTTCTTTTAAAAGCCAACCAACATCTATTCTAATGTTACTCATTTATATGTGGTTTAATATACAACTAATATATGTTAATTTTGAATATCGGAACATAGAACCAAAAAGAAATCAGAGCTGCAGCACAAGACATCATATCCTAGCACTAGCCACCATTAGTATCAATTGTATAAATGCCCTGAGTGTTTTGCTTCAATAACTGAACACGAGGCCATCTACGGTATTTGTGACATCTTTCTCATTGCCTCTTTCAGCTTAATCACTTCCATCTTCCTGCCTGAGTCTGCCAAAGCGGTTGAATCACAGTCGTACACCACTATACCTAGTTAACTAAATTTTTTTTTAAATTTTTATCATTTAAAATTAGAGGTTCTTTTCCATGGGTTATTCAGAAGATTTTGTAGAAATGTGAAAAACAGATTTAGGTTTTAGAAATATAAAGTACTTGGGAACCTTAAGGAAATTGGTTAATCCATGACTATATGAAACTTAAATGTCCTCTGATATTTATTTATTTATTTATTTATTTATTTATTTATTTATTGTGGTACTAGGGACTAAACTGAGGACTTTGTGCTTGCCAGGTAGGCACTTATGCTGCTGAGCTATATCCCTGGCCTTCATCCTCTGATATTTAACTTTTCTTTTCTTTTTCTTTTTTTTCTGGAACCAGGGATTGAACTCAGGCCCTTGCACTTGCCAGGGAAGCGCTTATTCCACTGAGCCATCTCCCTGGCCCCTCCTCTGATATTTAAAACCTGCAATAAGGCTTATGCACTCTGCTCCATCTGAGAGATCAAGGTTACTTTATTACTATCTAAAGGTCTCATCTGAACTAGTATTCATCTACTTGTTCTGAACCTTTTTCAAATTAAACCCAATTTTCAGTGTAGTTGGCTCCCAGTGAGGCTAATCCGTAGTGAGAATTCCAAGGAAAAAAAGGCATTGCAAAATATTTCAGCATAATCTTGAGTTATAGTATTGTTGTCAGAGTAGTATTTCTTACTGCTGCTTCCTGTGCTTATTTCATTTCTTTGTTTGTTTGTTTGTTTTTAAAGAAGAGGCTAGGCAATTTCCCTACACAAAAAGAAATGGAAAAACATATACCAGAGGTTGCAAAATGGCAGTCTGAGGGTCACATTTAGCCTACAGAAAAAGAAGTATTTTAATCTCTCTAGGCCTTGTAAACTCTTATAATCAGTTTCCAACATTTGAAAATTGGGAAATTTGCATGAAAATGTGCATCTCTGGTATACTAGATCATTCCATAAAGAGTTTAAACTCACAGTTAAATCAATAGCCAAGCAGGACACCACCAAGAATAATGGATACAATCAGAAACTTTACAAAGAACATATTTTAACCTGTTAACATAATTTAGCATGCGGATGACTCCCATTGGGCAGCTTGTACCACTGGTGGTACACACACGTCTACTCACTTTTATTGGTCTTTTTACTAACACAATTAATAAAACGTCACCTGATGAAATAGTCATGCATGTACCACACTGGTGGTTCAAGCCAAATGGTAGTGAGACATAGAAATTATAATCCTGTCATGAACATACTAATTTCAGTACATATGTAAATTTTGTATAATTTTGGCAAATACATTTTCATTTGAGCAATATATATATATATATATATTTTTTTTTTTTGTTTGTTTGTTTGTTTTCAACTTTTGGAGAAGGAATACCACAGGCTTTTTTTGACTGGGCATTCAGAGGGTTTATTTTGCGCCTCATTTCCAATTATTTTTTATTTTCAGAACTAAAGATGAAAACTCAGGCCTTCATGTATGCTAGACAAATGCTCTATTTCTCGGGTACATCCCCAAGCCCTCCAGTTCTTATTGAACAACCCAACTGTCCACACTGAACTGGAAGTCTGTTTTCAGTGCCCACCAGAAAAAGCATTCACAGTTCTTGCCACTTTGTGGTTTCTTTCTCTATTTCTGTCCTAGTCCACTGCACTGTTACAGATTGCTTGTGTGGCATGTGACATTTTTACTTAGAAGCCCTGATGAATACAGAGACTAAGGTTTTCCACTTACTCTTTCGACCTTTTAAGTAATCAGGGTCAACCAGGATCACACCATCTGTAGAAAGAGGGACATATGACACCTTGGTCAAAAATTAGCACACTATGAAACAGAGGTTGATTCTGAAGCATTTTTTCCTGTTCTTCCCTTTAATTAACCTCCTTTTTCTGCGTGGTTCTTCTAGGCATTCTTTTACTCTCTGGCTCTCATTCCTTTCTCCCCAGAGTCTTGCACTCACTGACCGATGGGTTCCACTGTGTCCACATGGTCTACGAAGTCCCGTTTCCCCAGGTAGATGGAGAGCTGTTATGAAACAAGCTCCCATGTCAGTCTCATGATCATTTTGGTAATGAATCCCCTGAAACTTCCAGCCCAACACACAAAACTGTAAAGGATGTTCCCATCTATCCCCCTCACCCTCTCATTTGCTCAGCTGGGCCATGTTCTCTTACCTTCCCATTGGAGCAGGTCTTCTTAAACACCCTTTGGAGAAAGAACCAGAAAGAGGGAGGGAATATTGGAAGAAGGTGAAAAACGAAAAGAAGTGAGAGAAAAGAAAAGAAAGTGTGGAGCGAAAAAAAGGGGTGCTGGGGAGATGGCTTAGTGGAATAAGCACTTCCCTGGCAAGCACAAGGGCCTGAGTTCAATCCCTGATTCCGGGAAGAAAAAAAAAGTGTGGAGAAAAGGAAATATTCCCAGGATTAGAAGAGGCTACCAGAGCATGAGGTGGAGAAAAAGTAGAGACAACTGAGGTAATGTTTAAAGCCACAGTTGGGAAGAGGTTTGAAATCCCTCTGCCCCAAAGGTAAATACTAGAGTTTGGGCAGAGTGCAGTTCATAGTTTCAGAGCATTAGAAGGAGCTCCTACTTACTTGGAGATGTTGGCCATGGAGCTGATGATGAGCCTTTTCTGGAGATGGATAACAAAGAAGAAAGATCTGTCACATGCTTCCTAGTCTCCTTATCTGACTTCAATCTACCATTCAAACTCACCTAGTGAGATGACTTTACCCTCCTTAGACAGATACCTCCCTACCATTGAGAGTTTCCCATTCTCCCTCTTGCCAAAGGTACTTCTATGGCTACACTTTTACCTATTCTGGATGAGGGGAAACCCTCTTATTTGTACAAGTTGTGATGAACCATATTGTCTATTCTCCAAAAGAATGTGGGCTTTGTGGGATTATGGGAACACTCTTGAGATATTGCAGAGAGAATGAACTTGTCCGCACAGAGGCTTTTATCCAGGAAAACGTGAGGAAAATGTGTTTCTTGGGTTAGATGAGGCTGGAAATGACCGGGCAGAGTAGGTGCCAAGACATGTTTGTTATATACATGAATTACAATGAACAAAGGAATTAATTTTGCCTCCTTATGCTCCTGCAGTAGACTGTAACCCTGAGTACACTTCATGATAACCTTGACCTTCAGCTAAGAAGAAAGAAAAGAGAAAAAAGAAGAGAAGAAGAATAGGAGAGAAAGACTGCTGCTCTCATATTCATGGTGCTGACTGCAGAAACCTCTATGGAGGTTGAAAACCTTTTTTGAACTTATTCATCCCTCTCATTAACTTTTTCAGACCTGCACCTTTATCTTAATGTCTCCCCAGGCATGATGGAACATTAGAAGGAGTAAGATGTCTTTCTAGTGCTTTCCTATGATGCATATTAGGCCTAGTCTGCAGGGTGATCTTAGGAGAGCCTCTTTGCCTGAATGCAGCCTGCTTTGTCCGGAAAGATGCCCCTAAACATCCCCCAAAATATTAAGGGGAATGCTAAGGGCAAGGGGTGTGTGGCTTAAAAGGGGTTAGAGGGAGGGGCTTTGGAATATTACCTGGAAGAGGGATGAAGTTGACACCAGACTCCTGCTCTGGTTGCTTGTCTCCCCAGCCTCTTATACTCACAGTCCTTGGAGTGTTTAGATAGGCGGGAGTCAGAGAAGAATAGAGTGTGGGGAGGGACAATGAAACGTTGCTATAAACAGCTCAGGTACCAGGAGTTTGGAAAGCAGATTAGTGGCGACAAGATTAGTGGCTAGAAGATTAATGGGCTGTTGGTGCTAGTGCAGGGTGGGAGTAAGGGATTCTGGTATTAAAGGTAGGAGAGGTTAGGAGGGCAAAACTACCCAGTTTTGGCCTTCAGAACCTTTGAACTGGAGGGCTGGGTTCAACATGGGCTTGGAGGCCTTCAAGGTGAAACATGTTGAGGACCAATGATAGAAGGGCTCAAAGTACAGACCTTTGTTTCTGCAAAGAGAAACTTGTGTCACATTCCAGTCTCTGTACATATCAATCAGCCATTCCAGGCCACTTAAAAACCAAGGATATAGGATAGAATCCCCCTTTTCTAGCCCCCAATTCCCCCTCACACTTGCGGCTATAGATTCATGAAATTGATAAAAATCAGAAGCAGTAATTATCCCGGATTGTGTGCACTCCTGGAGGTGTGGGAAAGGAGGCAGAAGCCGAATGTAATGAGCTGTGTGTGTGTATGTGAGAGAGAGACTTCACTTTTTGCTGGGGAAAGTACCAGGATTCCTGGCCTGACAGGGCAGTGCAAGCAGAGGGACTTCTGCAGCACCTGCACCTTCCTCCTGCCCCACCTCTTGACTCATTCCAATCTCTAAAACTAAGTCCATGCTCTAAGCAGCTTGCCTTGCCTTGTGTGACTGCTCATGGAATTAGAGGTATTTCTGTCCCTGCAGCTGTCAGGACCCCCATGATGGCAAGGACAAGGACAACGACAACAAGGATAGTCCTTGACTGTCCTTCCCATTGAATTCGGGCTGACTCTGTGTGAGCATGAAGAACTTACAGACAGAACCTCAAGCCTTGCTCTGTGGGATCCTGGGCCTTGACCCCTTTTGCTTCCCTTTACAGCTGTCTGTTTTGTAGTCCTTATCTATATTCAGAGCCCTTGATCCATGCCATGGGTATAGTCTCTCCAAGGATGGCTGTGGCTGTGGCTCAGAGGGGTGTGCAAGGCCTTCTCTAATCCCTGATCTTCACTGAGGGCCACAGACAGAAGCTCTGCAATCCCTTTATACAGTTTACTGAGTCAGCCCCTATATTCCTTATCAATATGCACCCAGTGGCCTTGTCATTTAGTTGCCAGAACTCTCTTAGGGATTCCCAGATAGAGCTAGAAGCCCAGACCCTTCAGGGATCAGAGTTGGATAGAAATTATGACTGGGCATCTGGGAAATATTCAAATACTTGCCAAGGCTGGGGTCAGTGGAGAGGTAAAAGTCAGAATGAATTCAATTCTGGGCTAATCTTCAGCAGACCCACAGTCATGCCTGCCTCCCATCCAGGTACTTACCCCTCCTGCAAGGCAGACGCACGGCTCCCCTCAGTAGCAAGAAAGTAGATCTGCTTGGTCTTTAGCTCATTATTCTGATGCAACTTAAATCATTAAGTCTTTTCCAGAAGTGTGTGCATTTCTTTTTTAATTAGTGGATACAGTAAGTTCCTGAATTACTGTATCCACTAATGAGTTTCATTCCAGGACAATTGTTTGTAACTCGAATTTGTCCATGAGCTAACAAGTGAGTCATATACAGTATACCTGTGAAAGTTTGCAACTTGAATCTTTGTGAGTTGAGGACTTAACTGTCTTACTAACACAGAATGAGGTTCATTTTGGCATTTTGGTACATGCATATAACATTTAGACTATTTTCCTCCCCGTGACCTGCTCTCCTTTTCTCCTCCCTGCCCTTTCCCATCTCTAAAACTCTATCTACTTGATAGTTTTCTATCTAGTGTGTTTACTCTGACTGAGGTATAATTTACAAACAGCAAAATGCATAAATTTTAAGAGCATTTCAATGAATAGCAGGCTGAATAATAACCTCTAAAGATATCAGGTCCTAATTCCTGCCATCTACAAATATTACCTTACATGATAGAGGTGGATTTGTAGATGTGATTAAATTAAGCATCTTAAAATGGGGAGATTATGCTGTATTAACCAGGTGAGCTCTAAATATGTCTAATCCCCAATTGTGTTATGAGCGAGGCGGAGGGAGATTTAACTCTGGAGACAGAAGGCAATTGTAGGTTGGAAGCAAGATGTTATGCTGCTGGGCTTGAAGGTAGAGGAGGGGGCTGTGGCCAAGCAATGCAGCTCTAGAAACAGATGAGGCAAGGAAATAGGTTCTCTCCCATAGTCTCTCCAGAACTATAAACGTGTATTGTTTTAAGCCAACATGTCTGTGGTACTTTGTTACAGAACTCACAGAAAACTAATATACTATTTATATACACATATAACCACCACCAAGATCAAAATAGAGAAAATTTCCTTTTCCCCAAGATTCCCTTGTACTCCTTTGACCAGCAGTTCTTGCACTTTACAAGAATGCGAGGATAAGAAGGCAAAGAAATGCTTTTTTGATTATGGAGTTTATGGTCTCTAACATAGAGTGATATGAAAGTTATTTTCAGGTCCTTATTCACCCTCTCTCGGCACACCCCAGTGATACACTTAATCAAGCCTTCCAATTAGGAAATGATGATCTCTGTATGAGGAAAGTGTGGAGTATTTGGTAAGGGCTGTAGCAGGTAGAATTGTGTATCAACTCAATAGCCATCTCCCCATCCTCTTTGTAGACAGAATCCCCGTTTTTTACTTTATTTGTTTTTTATTTTAAAAAGAAAAAATAAATAAGCACTTGCCTGGCAAGTGCAAGGACCTGAGTTCAATCCCTGGTTCCACCAAAAAAAAAAAAAAATCAAAAATAATAAATAAATAGAAAAAATAAAAAAATTTGAAACAAGATAATAGGAGGGTAAAAATGACTAATGCATTGTATATTGTTATCTTTAAATTAATTAAGGTACAAGGTATAGTTAATTGTTTAAATGATATTAGCACAAACCTTGCTTTTCAATGAACTATGAGAATTCGTATTACTGTCTTAACTATCTTTTATATGTACATTATTTTTCTTTTTGTTTTTTTCCTTTCTTATTTTCTCCATTCTCTCTTTCCAATTTCCTTTCCTTTTGAAGTTTCTTCTCATTTTATAATATCTATTGTACATTTTGGATCTTACCTCTTTCAGTTTCTCACATGTGGAATACAATACAATGTTTATGCATGTGTGTCTGATTTATTCCACTTAAGAGTGTGGTCTCGAGTTGCATCCACTTACCTATAAAAGTCTCAAGTTTCTCCTTCTTTAAGGCTGTGTAGTACTTCATTGTATAAAAAGACCACATCATTTTTCTCCATTTCTCGGTTGATAGGCATTTGAGTTGTTCACAAGATCCAGCTATTACAAACTGTGATGCTAGGGCCAGTGAGATAGCTCAGTGGACTAAGTGCCTGCTTTGACAAAGCATAGACCAGGGTTCGATTTCTGGTCCCACATGCCATGCTGGCTCTGCCCCCGGGGCATGCTGAGCCGGGTGACTAAGTCCAGACATGGTGGCGCATGCCTGTAATCTCAGCACTGGGGAGTCTGAAAACAAGAGGATCACTAAGAGTCTGAGCTGTGTAGTGAGACCCTGTACCAAATACATAAAGAAAAATAAAAGTTAAAGAAAACAAATTGTGACTGTAAACATGGGTGCACATGTATTGCTGTGGTATGGTGTTTTCAATTCTTCTGGGAAGACACCTGGAAGATGACTGGCCCCATTCCACATATGAGGAAATGGAGATTCAGGAAGACTTGTTTATAGTCACACAGCCACTAGGTGGTGGAACCAGAGCGCAAGCCTGGGACTGACTCACTCCAAAGTCTGTACTACATCACTTACTTCCCTCCCTCCCTCCCTCTTTTTTGCTCTTCTCCTTCCTTTCTTCTAACTTAAAGAAACTAGAAAATACTTCTTTCTTCCTTTTTCCCCCCTTTCTTTAGTCCCCCAAAATAATTCCAGGTAAACTTATCAAGACACTTATGA